TGGAAACTTCAAATAGTTACTCAAATTTTCTTTTGCTAGTGGCCATATACTTCAATTGTCTATTATTATTTTTCAGTACAGGTATTTATATGTACGCCCGGGGGGGCCATAGAGAGAGAGGGAGACAGAGAGAGAGAGAGAGAGAGAGAGGTGGGGGGGGGGGGTAGAAAATAATGCGAAACAGTGTGACGTGTTTGAAATAGTTCATCTAATTTAAAATACGTACACCTACTAACCTGTACAACTAACAAGCCACACAGGGATGTTGACGGGTGCTCTGGTGTGGTTTGCTCCTTTTGTCCCATCAAACATATAATTCATTGTCCCCCACATTTTTGTGTTTGTTACTCTATTGTGACACCTCTGATCTGCGGCGTGTATGTGACCCTATAATGTAGCAATTGCCATAAAACTCTTACCAAAACTAAACACAAGCTCACGGAGTAGTTGCATTAAAACTAATGAATTTGGAGGCTTATCTCCACATTACTATTACTATTTTATATGCTTTCTTGTGATTGTTTGTGACTTACATTCTACTTAGCTTATGATAAAAGTATTAAAATATTTGAAAGTGAACTTTTTTTTTTGTACGGCTATTTGCACCTGCTGGTGGGGCGTGGCGGCTAAAGGTCTTGGCCAAAACTCGCAAGTATGAAGATTGTGCTTCCTAGATAATACAAAACTGGGGTCTTTCATTTAGAAATTACGAGACATATCTTAAGAATTTCCAATTCTGTCTCTAACAGAGAGTGAAAGCTGTAATAGAGATTCGAGTGTCCATCACCTTCATGCACTCGCGTGTGTTGGACGTTCACAACAATACATGTCCCTATCATTACTATCAATGACTTTGTCGTAAGTATTAGCATTTAACCTACTTTTTGATCCAGTATCGCAATGAGCAAGCCACCTGTGCCTTCATTTGAGCCATGCTAGACAACAATGCACATACGAGTATTCAGTCGATGGAAGCTTAAATAGAACACGACCACACATACGTAAATTACTACAGCAAGGCGCCTGAAAAAGAGAGAGAGAGAGAGAGAGAGAGAGAGAGAGAGAGAGAGAGAGAGAGAGAGAGAGAGAGAGAGAGAGAGAGAGAGAGAGAGAGAGACGGACGAACGGACGGACGGACGAACAGATGGACAAGAGACAAAATGTTTGGGGTTTTTTAAAATCTTGGAATTATTGTTTTAATGTAAAGGACATAGTACAGAAATAGATTTATTTTCTCACTGGCCTAGCATCCTTGCCACATAACACGGCACAGTGGTCGAGATTCTGGACACTGTCACTCCTAGTTGGTCTCTAATAGGATCTGGGTTCTCATATCATTTTTTAATAACTTATTTTAACTCACTTTACATAATGAATTATGTATATTCCTTTGCTGTGACGTCGGTACCGGTACGTCATGTTTTCGTAATTACCGATTCTTATGCCGCTATTAGTTCGTCCTGATGAGGTTTTGAGTTCTCGTTTCTCGTTTCAACTCACATTACATATTATCCCAGACCCTAGTGCAATTTGCTGTGGAAATGGTGGTACGACAAACCCCTTGTCATAGGTGACATAAATAATACACCAATATCAATGTTTTGTAGACAGGATTAAGTTTTCAGCTTTGCATTATCTGCATTGGTGTCCCTACGTTGAGTAGCAATGACTATATGTTTGACTTTTGACCATAGATACCACCACGATTTAGTATGTTAGATGTCAGTATATCACCTACATAATCACTCTACCGAAGCGAAGTGTAAGCTTTGCAGACCAATTTATATATTATCTGGCTCTCATACAATGTTAGATGTTAATTGGTTCCTAGTTAGATAGGTAAGCATGTAGATGAGTCAGTACGTACGTGCACACGTGTATACCTGTGTGTCTGGTAGTTATAGTGGTGGTGGTGGTGGTGGTAATGGTGGTGGTGGTGGTAGTGATGTGTGTGTGTGTGTGTGTGTGTGTGTGTGTGTGCATGTGTGTGTGTGTGTGTGT